TAAAAGCCGTGCCCCTCTGGGGGTTCCCAGGGTCAAGGGAGTCAAGGCCATTGACAAGAGAGGGTTGAAGTGAGTGGCCACTGGGCCCAGACTGAGACAGCAAAGCAAGTCAAGATAGAAGCAAGCTCTGAGAAGAAGTCGGGGTGTGGAGGATGGCTGTTTCCATGGAGACCACAGGAGGAGGGTGAGGGAGAAACAGGGGTAGCAGCGGAGGTCTCAAAGTGGGCAGTCAGTCTTTCTTTCTTTCTTTCTTTCTTTCTTTCTTCTTTTTTCTTTCTTTTTAGGCGAGGCAACCCTTGGTTGACCTCACAGATTGCAAGGACCTTGTCAGCTTGCAGTCCCTTATTTTTTTTTATTTTTTACGCCTGCAGCACCTGGTCTTCCTAAGTGGTCTCCCATCCAAGTACTAACCAGGCCCGACCCTGCTTAGCTTCTGAGATCAGACGGGATCGGGCTTGTTCAGGGTAGCATGGCTGTAGACGGGCAGTCATTCTTGAGGAGCTCGGGGGTACAACAGCTCTGAGCATTAGAGGATGAGGTACAGGTATGGCCCCAGAGGGGCTACTGTGGATAGTACACGATACAGGGTGGGGGTACTCTAGGGGGAAGGAGCTGGGTGAGCCAAGAAAGGAAGCCAAGTGCCTAATGGCTCATATTTTTATCCATGTTATTGGGATATAATTAACATACCATACAATTCAGCCTTTTAAAGTACTGAATTCAGTGGTTTTTTAATATGTTCACAAAGTTGTGTAACTATCACCAGCATCTAATTCCAAAACATTGTCATCACCCGAAAAAGAAAGCCCAGACCCATAAAAGTCACTCCCCAGCCCCCGGCCCCTGGCGTCCACTAATCTTTGTGTCATTATGGACTTGCCTCTTATGGACACCTCATCTAAATGGAATCACACAATATGTGGCCCTTTGTGACTGGTTTCTTTCACCCAGGAGAATATTTTCAAGGTTCATCCATGTCGTAGGATGAATCAGTGCTTCATTCCTTTTGTTGGCTGAAAAATATTCCATTGTGTATGTGTCCCACAATTTCTTTCTCTCTTCATCCGTTGATGGACATGTGGGTTGTTTCTACTTTTTGGCTGTTATGAATGATGCTATGATCACTCGTGTGCAAGTGTCTGCATAGACATATTTTTTTTTCTCCTGGGCATATACCTGGGAGAGTAATTGCTGGGTCATATGGTAACTTTATATTTACCTTTTTGAGAAACTGGCATGTTTTCCACAGGCGCTGTGCCAATTTACATCCCCACCAGCAGGGTACAAGGGGTCCAGTTTCTTCACTTCTCCACCAACGCTTGTTATCTCTTTAATTCGAGCCCTCCTAGTGGGCGTGAGGTGACATCTCATTGTGGTTTTGCTTTGCGTTTCCCTGATGACTAGTGATGTCGAGCATCTTTTCATGAGCGTGTTGGCCATTTGTATATCTTAGATATACAATAGAAATGTCTATTCAGATCTTTTGCCCATTGTTTAATTGGGTCGTTTGTCTCTCTGTTGTTGAATTGAAAAAGTTCTTTCTATATTCTGCAGACTAGATCCTTTTCAGATATGTGATTTTCAGGTATTTCCTCCAAGTCTGTAAGTTGTCTTTTCACTTTCTCGATGGTTTCTTTTGGTGCCCCAAGGTTTTTAATTTTGACGAAGCTCATTTATCCATTTTTCTTTTGTCGCTGGTGTTTTTGGTGTCATGTATAAGGAGCCATACCTAATACCAGGTCACAAAGATGTAACCCTGCTTTCCTCTAAGAGTTTTGTAGTCTTATTTCTTATATGCAGGCCAGTGCTCCCCTTGGAGTTAGTGTTTGTGTATGGTGTGGGGTAGGGGTAATTTTTTGCATGTGGATACTCATTTGTCCCAGCACCATTTGCCGGAAAGACTCGTGTTTCCCCCAGCGGGTCAGTTTTGACTTTCCACTGTCTCTGTCCCTCCCCTCCACTGTGCTCCCAGATACGGAGGCTGTCAAGAAGGCGGCCTTAGACATGAAGGAGGAGGAGCTGGTGAGCGAGCGCACAGAAGCCTTCACCATTGCCCGAAACCTCCTCACTGCTGCTGCAGACGCCATTGAGCGGGTCATGTCGTCCTACAAGGAGGTAACCCCCAGAGCGTCCACCCCTGCCTTGCCCCCCATCCCACCCTCAACGGGCAGGGGCTGAGCCAGGGCCTCCCTTCCCGCAGGTGACAGAGCTGGCAGGCTACACAGCCCGGGTACATGAGATGTTCCAGGTATTCGAAGAAGTCCAGCACTGTCGTTTCAAGAGGCCTGGGGAGCCGGAGGACGCTCAGGCGGGGTCCGGGGCTGTGGTCAGGTCCGGTGTTCGTGTGGAGGGGCCCCTGAAGATCCAAGGTAAGGGCGCCCACGCTACAGAGGCCCCCCCGATCCCTGCCCTCCTACTGCATCTCCCAGTGCCACCTGGAGGGCTGGATCTTTGAACTGCGCCCCCAGGGAAGGCTTCCTTCACAGAGCAGTCACTACTGGCCAGTCTACTCACTGCTCAGCTCTTTTCAGGTGCCCTGGCTGGGATTTCTATTTGCAAAAGAGGGGCACATGGTCCTTGAGTATAGGGGGGTCACTCATCCACATGGGCAGGAAGAGAAAGTTCAAGGCTACAGCAGGGGCCGGGGTGCTGTGGAAGAGGGACTGGAGTGTCTGAGCCGCCATTAAAGTGTTGCCAGGAGGGCAAGGCTGCAGGGCAGGACTGGGCTCTGTGCTTTGGTTTCTGGAAAAGAGAAGCAGCTTTGCCCCTCCCCCTCCCAGAGCACAGCACCAGATACTGGGGGGCGGGTCTGCTTGTGGGAAGAGCCACTGTACTCCCAAGGGGCCTTGGACCACACACTGGCATGCTGTTGTAGGGTTGGGGGGGCACATGGAACTTACCAGAAGGCAAAGGGAGTGCTGTTCCTCTTTCTCTTCCTTTGTGTTCTCTTCAGGCCAAGTGGTGGATGTGGAACAGGGAATTATTTGTGACAACATCCCTATCATCACGCCCACGGGAGAAGTGGTGGTGGCCAGCCTCAACATCAGGGTAAGTCGAGTGGGCTGAGCTGGGCCGGGCTGAGCCATGGGGCCCAGGGCCTGGCCTTCTGCATTTATAAGCCCAGCCGTTGGCATCCAGCCTGCCCATGTTGTCAGTAGCCATTGTCCCCATATCTACGTGGTAGGTGGGCTAAGGTCAAGGTGAAAGGCCAACATGCCTGACTATTGGGTGTGGAGTGATGGAGACAGAGCTGATAAAAGAGACTCATAATTAGCAGGATTGGGGAAGAGTCACTGACAGTTCCTTGCCCCGTTGTCGCCGGCCCCATCCCTACCCGACCCCAGCCCCCCAGAAGCCCGGGACTGGGGAATCTGTTTCAACTCCGACTGTCTTAGAACAGATTGCCCTCCACTGACTGGGCTTGGGGTCCCACCCATCCGCTTCAAGGAGCCCCCAGTGGAGGTGTGTGTGCTAGGTGCAGCCTGGCCCCCCAGAAGGACTCTCAGCCAAACTTATACAGGTCATCTGTGGAAAGGAAGCCGTAGTGGCTGACACCCACTGTGTGCCCAGTCAAGGCTTTGGACAGGGTTTGGGGTGAAGGGGAGACCTGCAGGGTCAGAGAAAGAAGTGAGAAGAAGTCATTCATCCGTTTATTCATTTAACCGATATTCTCTGAGCTCCACACTGGGTACTGGAAACCAGAGGTAAAACACGGAGGCCCCTGACCTCTAGGAAGCCCCACTCTGGGGAGCTCTAAAGTATTACAAAGGTCCCCAATGAAGCAGCTGTCCAGGGTCCAGTGGAGGCCATAGGAAGGGTAGTCACCATCCCCGGGGGGAGCAGAGGTCATGTGAAGCTTCACCCGGGAGCCTCTAGGCAGGCGAACCGCGTGATGAAGACCTCCCGCAGAAGGCAGGTAGAGAAAAGGCAACGGAATGGCAGCAGCTGAGGGGCCTCAGGGGCCGTGTGCGCCCGGCGGAGGAGCTGGGTTGGCAGGAGCCATGGCCAGGCAGGGAATAAGTGGAAGAGGCGAGCGGAGGGGGCAGTGCCTGGGGCTCCTTTCCTTGATCTGCTGAGAGGAACCCTGGGAGCCAGTTGGAGGCTAGGAACACGTCATTACCCCAGGTCCCCAGGTAGCACAGGACAGTGGCGTGATCCCCATCTACCCCAGCAGTGGTCACTCTTGGGGTTTAGGGGGAACTGCCGATGGCCTGTTTATCCAAGGCAGATGGTTTCCAGGCAGCCCAACTAGGCAAAGCCCAGCGGCCCCGGTGAGCAAGGGAGCAGAGCAGCTGGGTAGGAAGCGAGGCCATGTGAGGAGTGGGTAACTGGGGCGCAAGAGCAGGGCGTGGGGGCCGAGCAAGAGCTCTGGCCCGGTGGAGCCGAGCTCTGGGGCTGGGAGGTGTCGGGGAAGGTGGTGGGGTGGGAAGGGCGGCAGGAGAGATGCAGGGAAGGAGAGGAGGGAGGCAGCTATGGCGCCAGCTGAGGGCTGAGGCAGCTCTGCCGGGCCCAGCACCAGAGGAGCTTTGTCACACGTCTGGATGGGGAGGTCCAGACGATGGCAGTGGAGTCTCTCCCAGGTCTGGGGGCCTGGAAGTCCAGGCCAGGGTGTCTCTCAGGGCGGTGAAAGAGAATCTGTTCCAGGTCGTCCCAGCTTCTGGCGCTCGCTGGCCATCGGGGTACTCCTTGGCTTCACTTCCGTCTCGGCCTCTGGCTTCACATGGCGTGTTCCTGTGTACATGGCCGTGACCAAATGGCCCCTTTTTATAAGGACACCAGTCACATTGGATTAGAGGTCTCCCCGCTCCAGGACAACCTCATCTAAATTGAACTAATTACATCTGTAAAGACTCTGCTTCCAAATAAGGTCACATTCTGAGGTCCTGGGGGTTAGGACCCTAATACGTGAATTTTGGGGGACACAGTTCAACCTGTAACACTGACCAACGTGAGCCAGGGACAGCCTTGCATGGGCTGCACTCGTAGATCTTCTGAGGGCCATGGAGGCCGGTAGGCAGGCGAGGACAGCGGTCTCCCAGCCTCTGACCCTCTTTCCTGCACCCCCAACCCCGCAGCTCGGCTGGCCTTTTTCCATCAGCCAGTGGGCATCATGCGATTGGCTAATTGTGAAGCCTGAAGCCCTTGATAGTGAGCCTGAGGGTCACAGTGGCATCTCCGTGGCACCCTGGCACCCGTGGGGACAATGCGAGGGCCGTGGCAGGCAGCCAGAGTTTACCGTCCACCTAGAACTCTAACAAAGTGCCAAAACACTTGGATTCCCAGTGAAGTGGGATGCCGTGGCATGGGGGGCCGACGTTGACTTTCTGGGGCGTACATCCCTCCATGTGTCTGTGGCAGGATGGGCCCTCCTCCTGCTGGCCCCATGCTCTCTGGTATGTGTCGGGGCCTCAGGGAATAGGCTGGATCCCAAAACAGGCATTCAACTGGGGCTCTGGATGCCGGACCCCATTGCCTTGGCCCTGCTGTCCCTATCCACCAGCCTTGGGATGCACGTGGGTGCAGGACGCTGTCAGAGGCTGTCAGGAAGGCCACAGGTGAGAGGAAGAGGGCCCATTTCCCCCCGGTACCATGGCACTGCCCCCGCAGGTGGAAGAGGGCATGCACCTGCTCATCACAGGCCCCAACGGCTGCGGCAAGAGTTCTCTGTTCCGGATCCTTGGCGGGCTCTGGCCCACGTACGGCGGCGTGCTCTACAAGCCCCCACCCCAGCGCATGTTCTACATCCCTCAGAGGTGAGCAGCGCAGGGGAGAGGGTGGGAGCCAGGGTCCCCGCCCCTTCCGACCTGTGGAAACTGACACCCAGGAGATGGCAGAGCTTGGGGCCTTAGGAGAGGGACAGCGAGATGCTGCCCCCAGCATCTTGGGGCCTCCACCTGCCCCCTCCCGCCCTCCAACCCGGTGACTTTACAGCTGTTTGGTGTGCACATTGCGGGCCGTGAATCTGTGTGCGTGTGTGTGTATGTGTGTGAGCATGTGCGCGCGTGTGCTGTGCGTATGCATGTGTGCGTGTGCATGCAGGGTGAGTGTGTGAGTCTGGTGTACGTAGAAGGGTGTGAGCGCTCCCTGGAGCACTTTCTGGCAGGGGTCTGTGGGCTTAGAGTCGGCCCTGCCTCCAGCAGCCAGTGCCCATGGCGTAGGCCACACAGGCACAGGGCTGGCCCTTCCCTCGGTGGACACACAGCTTTCCCACAGGCCCTACATGTCCGTCGGCTCCTTGCGCGACCAGGTGATCTACCCAGACTCGGTGGAGGACATGCGAAGGAAGGGCTATTCGGAGCAACATCTGGAAGCCATCCTGGACATCGTGCACCTGAACCACATCTTGCAGCGGGAAGGAGGTAGGGAGTTAAGGCATCTCGCCTCTCAGCGCTAAGGACTGAGCCATCCATCAGGGAACCTGCTGCCAGCCCAGCCCCCGCCTCCCTCTTGGCCCCCGACATCCAGAAGGCCAAAGTGCTAGGCGCCCTGAGAGCCCGTCTTAACAGGGCAGACTGACAGGAAGTGGGTGGCCCAGGCTTCCCAGGCCTGAGTGAGGTGGAGAAGGGAGGCTAGGCATGCAGGCAGGGGCCGTCCGAGGGGCAGGGGCTCGCTGTCTGGCCGGATGCCCTCTCCAGGCTCTGGGGCTGGGGGCAGGGAGGCCCTGACAGGGAAGGAAACCCTTGGAAGGCTTTAAGCAGGGAAGCGACAGGTCAGTTTCGAATTTCAGCAAGAGGACAGACCGAGGGGCATGGCGTGGGCAGGGCAGCCAGGGAGGAGCAAGCACAGCCCATTGCTCAGAGGGCCTGGAGCAGAGGTAGAGGGGACACCCCGCTTTCTGGCTTGAGCCTGGGGATGCTGTCCCCTGAGAAGGAGAGGAGGAAGGGACAAGCAAGGGAAGGCATTGGTCAGGGGCTTACCTGGTTTGTCTGTGAATACCCGAATACCTGTTGGGCCGGAGATGAGGAGGAGAGGGCGGAACCCAGGGCGGGGCTGAACTGACTTTCTTAGTGAAATCTGAGCGGCAGGGTTCCGCTTCCTGCCCCCCCCCCCCACTTAGGGGCAGCTTGACCTTGAGCAAATCCCTCATCTCTTGAGACTCTCCACCTGTAGGAGACAGGTACCAGTCCCTCCTTCAGCGCCAGCATTAAACAAAATCACTCCTGCGGACTCTTCCCAGGTGTGGTGGCTGTGCAGAAAAGATCGGGGCCTGCCGTAGTGACTCACTTTAACTTGATCGCCTCTGTGAAGACCCCTTCCCCAAATAGTCACCTTGTGAGGTCCTGGGGGTTAGGAGTCCCTCATATCTTCTTTTAGAGGGGACACAATTCTGGTCCCAACTTCTTTCTGACTATTAACATATCACCTACAGACATACGAGTACCCAGGGCACCCAGAGCTAGAGGTTGGCCTTCTCCACAGTCAAATGTGCCATCTTCCACTGTCATTTGTCTCCCCAGCCCCTCCTAAGTGACCCCAGGTCCTCCCACCATGCCCACTATACCCAGCAAGCCCAGGCCTGGGCCGTTGTTGAATTGAGCAGAGCCCCTTTGTCCCCTGCCCAGGTTGGGAGGCCGTGTGCGACTGGAAGGACGTTCTGTCGGGGGGCGAGAAGCAGAGAATCGGCATGGCCCGCATGTTCTACCACAAGTGAGTAGGCTGTCCAGGGTCCTAGGGCTCCCTCGGGCACTGGTTGCTCTCCAAGCGGCTCAGCGCGCATGCTCTCTGGGGCTGCCTCAGGGGGAAGGCAGTACCATTAGGAGACCCCTTCCCGGGCCCCAACAGAGATTGGGCCACAAAGGGTGAGGGCTAGGGACAGACCAGGGTGTCTGGAGGGTCCACAGCCTTATCTACTCGGCCCCTACCCCCAAGGCCCAAGTACGCCCTTCTGGATGAATGTACCAGCGCTGTGAGCATCGACGTGGAAGGCAAGATCTTCCAGGCGGCGAAAGATGCAGGCATCGCTCTGCTTTCCATCACTCACCGCCCCTCCCTATGGTAGGTGCCCTCCGTTTCTGCCTGGAGTTCAGGGGAGGGCGTGCCCTTCCCGCATTTGACACCCCCATGACTTTGCAACTGGGGAGGGGATGGCGCTACCATCAGAGGGGCAGTGGGCCTTGGCAAGCCCGGCAAGTGTCTTCTACTGAACGGCCTCCTTCCCATCCCTCTCCTGGCCCAGGAAGTACCACACGCACTTGCTCCAGTTCGACGGGGAGGGCGGCTGGAAGTTCGAGAAGCTGGACTCGGCCACCCGCCTGAGCCTGACAGAGGAGAAGCAGCGGCTGGAGCAGCAGCTGGCAGGCATCCCCAAGATGCAGCGGCGTCTCCAGGAGCTCTGCCAGATCCTGGGCCAAGGCCCCAAGGTCCTCCAGGGTGCCGACATCTGACGGGGCCATGGCTTCAGGCTCTCGGCCCCTGCCCCTCCCTGAGCCCTCGGATCATATGAAGGAAACAGCAGCGCCTGTCCACCCACTGTCCCCCAGCCCTACCACGGGCCCACCCTGCATGGCTCCCCGTCTTCCCAGGCCTTGCGGCCACCGGCCTGCCTTGCCTAGCGGACTGCCCGCGAAACCGCGTGCCCGACCCCCACAACCCTGCCCTGGGGCAAGTAGACATGGAAGGTCCTACCCTGCTGCCCACTCCAACCCTGCCCCTTCCTTGCCCCACGATACTGTGACCTGGGCAGGGTCGCCGAATCCCTTCTTTTCTTTGGGGAGCGGGACAGGGGTAGGAGGTGAGCCCCAGCTCACATCACTAGCCAGTCTGTGCTGAGCCTCGGCATTTGTGGGGCGCTGCCCTCCTAAGACTGAAGTCCCCCTCATTTCCTCCTTTTCAGTCCCTCGGAGACAGCACGGTCCATCCCTCTGTTGCCACCACCCAGGTGGCTGCCAAGACTCCCGTCCCATGGGACGTCCTTCCTGCCATAGAAACGGCCAAACGGGACCCATGGCCAGACAGGGCCCCTTGTCTTCCTCTTGTCCCTACCAGTCATCCCGAAGAGCCCTCGGGAGAAAACATTGCACAGCATTTCTTAGCAAGTGATGATAAGAATGTAGTCCCTACCTGTCTTGGCCCCTACAACCTAATTTATTGGATTCCTGTTTGTAGCATCCTCTATTGCCGATGTGAGCACCCTGCTAGCAGGGGAGGTGACCCGGGCTGCGGTCCTTCCACCTGTGTCCCAGCCTCTGAGCCAGCCCCGGCCGGCCTGTTGCCCCACCAGCCTACACTGCCAGCTGCCACCAGGGGGGCCCAGGCCAGCCGGAGGGGGAGATGGATGCTGGTGCTTCCCGGAGTGCAGACGCCAGTGTTCACAGCTCAGTGCCAAAGAGGGGTCAGGCTGGGGAAGCTGTGTCTGCAAAGCCAGCCTCTGCCCGAGAGGGAAACCCCGCCACCGCCGTGTGCCTTTCGGGGGAGCCCTCAGCTCTCGGGCCGGGGAGGCTCCCTCAGTCCTTCAGTAAAAACCTCTCATGGAAAGTGCGTTCCTGCCTCCTGGCCTCTTCCTCTGGCGTGGTTTTGGGGGAGAGACGGGGAGGGGCAGCAGAGTGTCTGGAGTGGGGAAGGAATAACCTCAGCCCATGCCCCCCGCCTGACGACACAGCTCAGCACATTCTCTGGCTGACATGGCGGTGGGGACGTGGCTTGAGCAACAGTATCTCACAAAAATATCGGCTGAGCCCAAATTCAATTCTGGGCCAAGCCTGGACTCAGTGCTGGGATGGGGAGGAGGGGCCCAATTCCTGGTCCCTGCATGAGGAGCTTCTGGAGAGAGAGTGTGGGAAGATCAGCAAGCTGCAAAGTGGGCCGATGGGTGCGGGGGGACGGAGGAAAAAGGGTCCTGACCTGGCCTGGCAAGGGGTAGCAGGAAAGAAGTGGTTCTAGACCTTCTGGGAGAAGGGAACGCTTGTGCAAAGGCCCACGGATGAATCAGGAGCAAGAGGTGGGTTATCGATGCTGAGTACAGGCGAATGGAGGGGCCGGGGCCACGCTGAGGAGCCAGGACTTAACTCGGGAAGTGAGGAGAAG